GGGGGGGGGGGGGGGGGGGGGGGGGGGGGGGGGGGGGGGGGGGGGGAGAGAGAGATAGAGAAAACAGCGACCCGCAGAAGACCCCCGCGGTCCAAGTACTTCTACCGCGGAGGATTCTGCGACTCTTCAAATTTCAAAGGTACCATTATAGGTCCAAAGTTGCACGCAGCTCCCTCCCGTTAACCATGAAAACGACACAACAACAAGGCTGAGGTCGTGAATTTCCCTCAAAAACCGGGGAAACGTCTGATCGACCAGTGTGTAGCACAGAGTCAAATGGGTAGAACCGCCGTAGGAAATCTAGGCTACCATATCGGCCACGGCCACAGCCTTCACAGAGCGGTTAAGAGCTAAGGTGACACCGGTGGTCGTGGGATACGTAACCCTTATCGCCCCGCAGCGCATCGACCGTTGTTCAAACCCACCTTACTCTCGTCGGTGAACGGCTGATGGTTTCAATGTTTCCTAGTATGTACAGCCAACGTGCCTCATGTTGTGCTGGATTCGATATGATTTTTTTTTTGTCGCCCATCATTGGACTCTGTCGTATGCCCCCCTGGCCCCTACCCTCCACTTCTACCAGCTAGACGAGCCAACCGGGGTCACGTAGGAGGGGAGCGGTTGGATCGCCTCCTGCGGTTCCTGCCTGAGATATTTTCATCGCGAGAAGGGTACAGCAATCCCTCCCCTCGCGACTTATGAAGTCGATCAAGTTTACTAACAACGAGCTTTGCAGCGCGTCGCTTCCAACGGAGACCAGGATTTAATTAGCGAGAAAAACTCACTCTGTCGGGACTCGAATCCATGACCTGGGCCTTAGCAGGCTGCGAGGCTACCCACTAGACCACCGGGGCGACCGGTGTACTTATGTAGCGTTATGGCAGACACCGACTTGGCCGCACACACAGCGTTTTCAAACATGCTGCTGCCGGTCTGGTCTCCAGGTACTCCACATATGTCATGGAGCAACAACCCAAGGGTCTTTCAGCCGGAAGCAGGCAGTAGAACCGATTGCTCATACCTCTTCCCGAGAAGCAGGCTCCAAGATGCGCCGGGCTTTCTTGCTCACGCCGGTTTTCGACCGCCCCCTTCCCGCCGCTCCCCGCTTAGCTCTGGTGGTGTTCATCGTCATCACCCGACTGTTGCTGCTCCTGCTTCTACTGCGACAGCCAACACCCCCATGGCTGCCACTATCCCAACGTATTCTACTGCCTTGCACAGGTTTCCCACTCGCGACGAAGCACGGGGCATAAGAGCCTCTGCTCGACCGCCACTGCTGGTGGTGGTGGGGGCTGGGTTGACGGCTGCTGCTGGACGTGGTGCCGCCTGCCGCCGCTTCAACTAGACCAACACACGAGGACCGGCTTCCTCCTTGCAAACAGCGGCAGCATACCAGCAACGACAGCAGGACACGAGCCACACTGAAGCGTGCCGTTGCAATCTCTCGATGTGCGTGGGCCATGGCACCTAGGTGCTCAGCTGGGGAGCTGGTCTTGAGCAGTATCATGATGTCGGTGAGCAGCCAGCTCTTCGAGGGGGGGACGTGGGAAACCTGCGGGTACACTGCGTTTGGGTTTTCTTATTTGTCGGCCCCCCACATGCGGTGCGGTGCGTCGCGGTCTTTGCGATTGTTGTCTCTGCTGCCCTGGCACTGCTGATTGTTGTTCCCTGGCTTTGGCTCTGTGTATCGAAAACCCAACGGAAGGAAAGGAGCACGAGGGAGAGAGAGAACGGACGGGCGATCGCTAGAGTTCTGCGAGATTTGGCCATTTGTCAAACGCAATAAAACAAGGCGGGCGATTGTGCGAGCGCAGCAGAGGCTGCCAGGAAGGAGCGTGTGAGAAATCATGCGCATGGGACCCAGCATGCCGCTGCTTGGAGCTTTGCTCGGAGCCGGGTTGACCGCGACCTCGGCATTCGTTTCGTGAGTTTGTGATGCAGCTTGCGCGTTAGTGTGTCGGTGCAACACCGCCGTGTCCATACTCGATGTCGTTGCCCGTGGCATGTTGCTCTTTGCAGTTGAACCTGGATCAGCCGCAGGTTCGCGATTCCTCTGCCGCATCAATAGCTATGCGCGTGCATCCACTACATGCGGTTGGTATCATAACGTTGCTGCTAATACCCGCAGAGAGAAAGTTATTGAAGCAAGGGCAGCTATCTCTTTGGTGTCGTGTAGCGTCTAGAGCCACAGCTCCAGATCATCGCCTACTGAGTCCTTCTGCGGTGTGTGTGGCAGCGACCACGAAAGGGGTTGAGACATTAATTAACAAACCGCAATTCATGAACACGTGTACTCTTCACCATCAACACGACGTGAAGTTTACTCTGCAAGCTACCCGGGTGTTGTAGTCGCCGAACAAGTTGGAAATATTTGTCTACGTATGCATGCCTATGGCAGGGTAGGAAGGCGTTACAATACAGGAGTACGTCGTGCGAGATGTCGATAAGTCTTGAGGCCACGCGCGCTTCGCTGTGGCACATAGTCGCCCCGATGGTCTAGTGGGTAACCTCGCAGCCTGCCAAGGGCCAGGTCATGGGCTCGAGTCCTGGCAGAGTGAGTTTTTTTCTCACTAAATAAATCCTGGTCTAGGATGAAAGCGATGCGTTGCAAAGCTCGTTGTTAGTAAACCATTATCGACTTCGTAAGTCGCGAGGGGAGGGATTGCTGTACCCTTCTCGCGATAAAAATACCTCAGGCAGGAAACGCAGGAGGGGGTCCAGCCCCCCCTCCTATGTGACCCCGGTTGGGTCGTCTAGCTACTAGTAAAGGATATGGGCCAGAGGGGCAGCGATAGAGTCCAATGACGGGAGAAAAAAAAAAGAAAAAGTGGTCGATGGCAATCTGTGCGGTAGATACGATACCCCCTCCCCCTCCCCCTCAAGCCTTGGCAGCACCTCTGTACTGGACCGTTTCGGGCTCACGATGAGTCTCACAGTATCCCTGCAACACACAAATGGACTTATCCTGCGGCTACTCGAGTCTTTGAGCGCGATGTACGATATATGCAGCCGGCGGGGAAACTAAGGAAATACCCCGCCGGTCGGGTTTCTAAACGCGTTGCCGTCAAATATTTCCACACATTTGCGAAAAGAATAAGCTGCGGCACGCACCGCAGGAGGAAGGTGGGGCACGAAAATAAAAATGAAAAGAAGATTAAAGACCTGGTGTTTACACCCCCCTGTGTGACCCTGGATGGTTGTAGTTTTACGAAAAAATACACTGAAAGTATTGTATTCTACATACACAGTCATACACGTCTTACCACGAGAAATAAGGGGACTGCCGCCATCATAAATAGGACGAAAACGCACAAAAACACACACACACACCGATCGCAGAACACCACATGAGTGTGGCAATCTTGGATTCCCTTTGAAGTGTGTGCTGTAGTTGAGCTGCTTTGCCAGCATTCCCAACGCTGTCGGCTTTTCTCCGTCCCTGAAGAGATGGATCGGCGCCCTCACTGCCGGCTGCGTACAACACACACGCAAGTGACAAAAAATGCATCCCAACACCATGAAACCCCTGAGACTTGCTGACCTGCGCTGGATAGCGTGCGAGGGTGTAATGATGTAAACGCATGCCGTAGTCATTAGACCATTGGTCTCGCATCCCTACAACGCCGGGACGGAGGAGCGATAATATGCCGGGTTTTCGCCTCCTCAGGCTACCTTTCACGAGCATGAACCTGAAGGTGTTCATCACCCTTGCACCCTTGCGTTTTCGTGCGTTTTCTGTTGCAAACCAATTATTCCATGGGTTGATTGGCGATCCCAGCCAACAAACGTTGCTCTGGATAGTGCAAGGGGGGCTCATTTTGTGTAGTCCTGTCGTGCCGTGCTCCCAGGCGCGCACGACCACGAGCCTAGAGTCCCTTACCTGGCAAGTTGGTGTTTGTTCCAAAATTCCGTCGAGGCACAGCGTCGTCTTCCCGAACCCTTTGTGCAGTGTGCTCACAGCTCCTGAGCCGTGTCTGCAGCTGACCGTCTCATCTGAACATCGCACCACACGCAAGAGCGCGGCTGGCCATATCAATATCACTGAATAGTATTGGTTGAGCCAGGAATTCTGTGTGTGGTTATAATGTTGGTGCCGGGGGCCAATATTACACTCACAGAAGAAGCAGCGTTTCGTTGTAACGAATGTCGTTCACACACCTGGCGGCTCACGAAAGTGGCACCCGAACACATTCTTGGGACGGGCGACATCCGCTGTGGGCCAGCGGTGCAGCGTCTACCCATCTTCTCAACCCGCCTGTGTGTTTGTGTTTTTCTGTGTCCCATCTGCGTTTGCTTGACCGTTGATCGGAAATACCCGTAAGTCAGAGTGTAACGCCCAACCCCCCCCCCTGCCGTGCCCTGTCAACTCTTGTTGTATATCCGAAACCAGGACAACTCCCGTAGTGTCCTCAAGCCTGTCCGCTCGCCAGCTGGTATGCAGCAGCAGCAGCAGCGGCAGAACAACACCAGCCACAGCAAACTCTCGACGGCGAACAGCTACAAGGGCCATGCTGTTTGGGGGCGGAGGAGTGGGCGGGGAGGGCTTGGCGGAGCTCGGGTCGATGGTGTCCGGCGCAGTGGGGCAGGCGCACGCGAGCGCGATGGGTTCCGGCATGGGTACATTCCTCCTCCTCGCGGATGATCCGCCGGCGCCCCCCAACATCTATGGCGAAGTCGCACAGGGGTGAGTGTTGGGAATGATGTGCGTGCGGTGTGTGCTAATCGTGGTATGTCTATTCTAATCTAGTATGATGTGTTGGGGTGAGTGAGAGATCGTTTGCTCGCACTGTCTCCTTGTTCTGTGTGAACGAATGTCAGGTGCTTGTTTTCCGGGCCCTCCATTTTTGCCCTCGCACACGTTGTTGGCTTTGTGGTCTGCATCCTTACGGCTGTAGCGGAAACCGTGAAATGCTATAGCGTGGTCTATATTAGACAGGGTGTGGAACGAAAAGGAAGGGGGATCCCCTTCGTATTTTTTGTTGTGGTCATGTTGATCCTGCAAGCGCCAAGCGACTGGCATGTTCGCCTGTTTTTTGGTTGAGGTCGATTGTTACTTACGACGACAAGGATTGGATCACCTTTTCTCACGACTGTCCAGCTATATTTCGCTAGGTTCTGTTTAGACTGACGCTGTTTTTCACTTCAGCAGTAGCTGCAACCGTTTTGGCTTCCAGGTTCGACCGACACCGAGCTTGCTGACTCCCACGGTTTCGACCCAGCAACAAAGCAGGCCCCACATATATCCACCAATCCCCACCGTAGTCATGTGGAGTAGCCCCGTATTCTGCGCGCACGACGTCGGCGATCCCGCCATCTTGCCACCCTATTTACACTCCTCGCCCTCTTTGGTTTCGGTTTATTCCCTTAGCCCGGCTTGTCTTGTCTCCTGCATCCGTTCTCGACACACTTTCGTTTTCCACAGAGGGTTTTTCATCATCTTCTCCGGCGTCTTCTCGGCGTACATCATAGCCACGATGATCCGCAACATGCCGATCGACCAGCTGGAGAAGGTGCGTGGTGGTTGGTGGTGTCCCGGCTGCTCTGCGTATCTTGTCATCTTGTCGATGCCGTCGCTGTTTCTGTGCGTAGCCTCGCTCGCGCTTGTTTGTTTGTTTATTGCTGTGGTGTTGTTGCCACAGGAGTATTGCATTGTCTTGTCTTGTTTGCCACTTCATTTTTCACTCTGTACGCTCCCCAATACATTTGTACAAGTACATCTAACGCACAATTGGAGGATGGGATAGGAGGCGGGCGGGGAGTCCACGGAGTCGGTGCTTTCGTGCGGTCGGGCCTGTTTGTCCCTCGGAGGATAGTTGCTGCTGCTGCTGCTGCTGCGGTGTTGCCGGTTGGTTGTTGTGTCTCGAAACTCTTCAGCTCACCCTCGATCGAGAGAACCCCGAATCACATAAGAAGAACACAACGAAAGCGGAACCACGAAACAGAACCGGGAAACAAGCCAGAAGCCGGACCGAAACCGTGCCAAATCCTCAGGGACACTGAAGAACTTCAACAAGACCAAAACACACCAACATCTACGCGACATCAATAAACTCACAATCAATCGGCACTTGCACCCCAACTCGAAATGGCAGCTCACGGCCGAGCTCGGGGGCGGAAACGAGATAGCTGACTTGGAGGCGCAGAGGATCGAGACCACGAAGAGGTTTAAGGAGCTCACGAAGGACATGGCGCAGGCCGCGGACCCTACGATGGGGGTTAAGCCTGACGGCGCGCTCTCGGAGAGGCTGAGCCAGCAGACGACGAAGGCGCTGCAGACGGACATCGCATCCATAGAGGACGAATACGGGGACTAGACTAGACTGGACGCCGAGGATGATTTGTTGTTTGGATGGGTGAGTTTCTTTTTTGCGGTTTCCCGAATCGTTGTTTGTTGGCTGCTTTGAATCGTTATGGCTTTTGGGGATGTTCGGCTTAACTGTCTTGTTTTGGGTTGTCTCTTTCTCTCAGTTCATGTTCGCCTGTGTTCTTCCTCGTCTCTTCTTGATAGGAAAGGGGTTTGGTTTCCCTTTGTCCGTGGTTCTAGAGCCCGAATCCGAACACCGCGCGGATGTATTTTCCGAGCGCCATATCGGAAGCTTCGTTTATCTATCGTGTTGGTAGGGCGCGAGAGTACGAACAATTTTAGAGACGGAATTTCTTGCGGCATGTTGGTCTTGAATGAACGTTGTACAAGGTTATTTCTCTTCCCTCTTGTAGTAATGTCCAGAAGTATTCGGGTTTCGAGGAGCCTTGGTTGAAGTCGACTGGACCAAAGATAGAACAGTAGCACGTGATTCTCTCCTTTCTGCAGCGTTTGGAGAACAATCTATTTTGTGATTTTGTGACGCGTGTTTCTTTTCAAGTAGACACACACGCCCATGCGATGCCGAAAGACACTGCATGGAGATGTGCCGATTCCATGTGAGAGAAACATGGAGGACGTTCTCTCTGCGGGATGCTTTTTGAGGCAACGTTTGGTGCACCAAATTTCGGGATCTAAAGCACCAGAGATATATGGGCTTTTGAGCGACAAACGTTGTGGGGATTCTGCACCTTCGATGAGGTTCATTCCAGGAGCTTCGACCAAGATGTGGTGGCCGAGGTCTTGGAAATGGAGCGATGTTCTCGGCTATCCTCTGTGCGTTTCTCAGCCATAATCGACTTTGGAGATTGTGGAGATTGTGGAGAGATGAATTAGACGTTGTTCTGCAAGCCACTGCTTGGCTGCTGTGGCGCCCTTGCTCATTGCTTGAGTACATACGCCGACGGCAACAGTGAGAAAGGATGACACATGCGCATGCCAGTCTAATCTTATATCAGCAAGAGTAGGTAGGGAACCTCTCTCCTTCCGCGCGTGTGAAAACTATTCTTCTCGAAACCCTTTCAATAGCTTCTCGTTGGAGCAGTGAAGGAGAGGGGGCGGCCGTTGCATGGTCGGTTGCCCACAAGGAGAGATGGACCCACAGCGAGCCTAACGAATAGATAACAATATTTGCATCCTGCGGTGTTGGCATAAAACAACCGCTTCTGTACACTTTTCCACGGGAATGTTTAGTATAGTATAGTATGTTTAGTAGAGTATGGAGAACCTGTACTAACGGCTGAGTAGAGTAGAGTATGAGAGAGGTGAATACTCTACTCACCTGAGTAGAGTACAGAGGTCAGGTACTGCACTCAAAGAGTATGTTTAGAAGAGTATGAAAAGCCGTACTAAACCGCAAGAGTACGTTGAGTAGAGTATGAAGAGCCATACTAAAATGTGAGTATGAGTAGAGTATGAAACGCCGTACTATACTCAAAAAAATGGTTTAGTAGAGTATTGAAGAGCCGTACTTACAAAAATTTTAGTATAGTACGAAGAGCTGTACTAAACGCCACAGTATTCTTAGTAGAGTACGAAAAGCTGTACTAAACGCCACAGTACGTTTAGTACAGTATGAAGAGCTGTACTAAACGCCACAGTACGTTGAGTACAGTATGGAGAGCCATACTGAACGCCACATTGAGTACAGCAGTATGGAGAGCCATACTAAACGATGTTTCCTTGTCTGGTCTGCACGCTTTCCTCCCTCGCTTTTCCGTGGCCGCCACGCAGTTGGTGCGAATCCTTTAAGTGCTTGTTGACGTTGCTCTTATGCCCCTTCGGGCAAGGGATCTTCTTGCCGTCTTTGATGCACCCGCCAACCTGGCACCTGTACCAAGCTTTGTTTTCCGCTGATGTCCTACTCACAACACCAACGGGCACGTAGTAGTTTCCAAGGCTGAACAGGAAGGAGTCCTCGCGGGCGCCTTCCTGCTGGAAACCGGCCGGCACAACGAATGACGCGACAGCGTTCTTCGTAGCCTCCGGCACGTCGTACTCCCCTCCGCCAACGTGGAAGACCGGTGCGGGACGCTTGACGTTCACTGACTGCTGTGGCGCTCCTCCACTCGTTGAGCCCGGCACGACGACCACCTCGTTGTCTTGTTGCGCGTCTTGTGTTGAAGAACCCGGTGCGAGGGTACTCGTGTCGGGAGAACCACCCGCATCGGGAGCAGATGCGGCCGAACCACCGCTCGGGTCACTCATGCTCAGCTGCCACTATCTCCCCTGCTGCGGGCCACTACCTCAATGCCCGAGTACCTGAGTACGCGAGCGCGCGAGTATCGGAGCCTGGAGCCCACCACTCCGTGCGGCGAGACTGTCTACTTTTTGCTGAATAGTGACGTCACCAACACACCCTTTGGTGGAAGGTAGTACTAGTACGTACTCTGACGTTGAGTAGTACGTACTCTGAGTTGAGTATGGCGAGCTGTACTATGGCCTGAGTAGAGTATGGGCAGCCATACTAAACGCAACAGTATGTTTAGTAAAGTATGAGAAGCTATACTAAAGTGAAAGTATATCTAGTACATAGGAAGCCATACTAAACCCAAAGAGTATGTTTAGTAGAGTAGAAAAGCTGTACTAAACCGCATGAGTATGTTGAGTAGAGTATGAAGAGCCATACTAAAATGTGAGTATGAGTAGAGTATGAAAAGCCGTACTATACTCAAAAAATGTTTAGTAGAGTATTGAAGAGCCGTACTTACAAAAGGTTTAGTTAGTACGAAGAGCTGTACTAAACGCCACAGTATTCTTAGTAGAGTATGAAAAGCTGTACTAAAGTGTGAGTATTACTCTACTGGGCGAAAAGAGCCAGATACTTACTCAATACTCGGGTCAGTACTAATAGTACATACTATACTAAACATTCCCGTGCACTTTTCTCCCCTGCCTCCTGGGAGGAAGACGCCGATCAACCCTCTTCCTGTGTGAAGCCCTACCGGACCGACATCATCCATGTTGTCCCGGTGGTCTAGTTGTTGTTGTTGTTGTTTCTCACATTAGCTCTAAAAAAAAAGATTGGGAGCCCGTGGTCTCAAAACCCGGCATACACGACCCCACGAAGAAACAGAAAAAAAGAGTATGGGCAGCCATACTAAACGCAACAGTATGTTTAGTAGAGTATGAGAAGCTATACTTAAGTGAAAGTATAGTACAGTATAGGAAGCCATACTAAACCGCATGAGTATGTTGAGTAGAGTATGAAAAGCCGTAGTATACTCAAAAAATGTTTAGTAGAGTATTGAAGAGCCGTACTTACAAAAGGTTTAGTTAGTACGAAGAGCTGTACTAAACACCACAGTATTCTTAGTATAGTATGAAAAGCTGTACTAAAGTGTGAGTATTACTCTACTGGGCGAAAAGAACCAGATACTTGCTCAATACTCGGGTCAGTACTAATAGTACATACTATACTAAACATTCCCGTGCAGGAAAACTACCACTTTACAGCAGCACCGCCACCTCCGCTGCTGCAGAACGTCACATTTTGAGAAAATTTTGGATGCCGCTTGGTTCCGGCGCAGCTTTCGGGCCGTTCTCGGAGTCTGCTGGGACCTTCGATATTTAGCTCCAGTACATACATAGCGAACCTGAATGTGCCAGCACGCCCGAAGCCTTTTCATGGTGTCCTCTACTGATGACGGTAGAATGGACGAGCTAAAAAAACCCTTGCGGGAAGTTGTTTTCTTTATTTGTAGACTAAGGCTGAGTCTTACGGCGTGATTATTTCTGAGATTTTTTTTTTCATCCTCTTCTGGCAACCCCCATTTTTCGTAGTCTTGCGTGCTTCGTGTCTAGACCGTTTGATCGGTCGCGTACCAAAACCATGCGAAGGCAAACCCGGGCTAGGGGGGCATGCAATCTCTCACTTGGTATTGTAACCATTTCTGACAGTCAGTGTCCATGCATGCAATCCAAGAATTCTCCCTCTGCCGTCAGTGTAATAGTGTGCCAGACCTTTGGCCTTCCGGCAAGTAACGGGGGAGTGTCTCGAGCTCGAAAACCGCAAACTTAGTCCAATCGAGGTCTAGTGTCCTGCCCAACCGATCTCCGGTACCTAAATGCCCCGCAAATCTTGCATACGGATTATCTACCGTGCGTCCCACATATTTCAGACCATTCGACAAGTTCACAATAGCGTATATGGTGACTGTGTTCTTGCGGGGGAGTGGTCTCCCACTATTGCTATCTTCCCCGGATGATGTCCATCTTGGTATGGCCTACCACACCGTTGGGGTTCGTATGCACCAACAGGGATATTCCCTTTGTCTGTTGCAATTTTTGTGTGTTTTTTCGTTTTGTTTTTCGTTCCGTTGGTCTCGCCGAAACGTTTCTAGAACCGGTCTCTGTTTTTCGTACCGACAAACACTCGTTCTAGGACGCCATTCTCCGGCATTTACCGGAAGGCGCCGCAGACACATTCTGACAGCACTTCAGACAGCAGCTTTGTGCCCCGCCAGCTGCTTGTTCCATGCCTACCATGGTGTTTTTGTACAGACAGCACTTCAGACAGCAAGATGCTGTAGTCGGCAATCTTCCGTTTTGGTACAGTGCCGGAAAGTGTGAGCCCGAATACGGGTGCTTTGAAAAAAAAAATAACCTTCTTCAACGAATTGAGCGGAACCAAAATACATGGGTCCCACGTGTGTCAGGAATTTTGACACGAGCACGAAATTTTGACACGAGACCAGAATTTTGACACGAGACCTCAGAATTTTGACACGAGAGGTTACGCCGCACTTTTTCATGTCAGAATTACAGGTCAAAATTTTCTGACACACGTGGGACCCAATATTCGTGAGAAAGCTCTCGCCAGCAGCGATCGAATAAGACTATCCACAGCGCGGGGTTTTCGTTTTTGAGAAAGATATGGCTCCATTACCATCAATGCAGAAGGCACTTCATCCCACAAGAATCGCCATATCTCGATAACTACGGCGAACCCCGCGAAAAAAATTGCAGATTTGAAAAGCTCTCTTTCAGAAGTATTTTACTGCGGCGGAATCATCCCCGAGCGTGGTGAAGAAGAACTTAAAAAAAATCAGAACCAACATTTTCAAATTTTTCGCCCACATCAGCCCCAACGGCTGCCGCACATGAACAATTCGCGGTCCACGCCCATGGCTTTTAAGCTGCGCGACAAGCCTTTGGCGACCATACTAGCAACCTTGGCTCAACGTGGTGGTGAGCTGGT